TGTTAATATTTTTAAGTTTTGCAGTAATAAAAGAGAACATATTACATGGCATGTATCCTTGTAAAAATTGTAAGAAACTAATAATGTGTAATTTTACATTTGCTAGCTAATGGTATGGTACAAACAAACATTTATCAAAATAAAAATGAGGTCCATATGCATATCAACTATTTATCATAAGTATCATTAGAAACTATAGAGCCCCAAATGAACTCTTGAGGGTAAAGCTCTTAAAATAAAAAATAACATTTTAAGTGCAAAGCTATTACAATCTCATTTGATATTCATTTTAATTGCAATGACTATAATGAATATACTTTGTATTCGAACAGATGTCACAAGTACTACTACAGAAGTTCTAATATAATTCAGTCTTAGTTAAGAATAAGTAAATGGATATTTAAAATTGAATGTTACCATGAAGGAGGGAAAAAAAAAAACCATTACAGTAAACATTAGCTCCTTTAAAAAAACAAATTTAAGATTTTTATTACATTGTGTTCTTTCTTGTTTTGACATATACAAAATATAATAATACAAGGAACTTGCTGTCTCAACCACTCCTTTTCCTTGCATCAGCTATTCTGCAGATTAGTAGGCCTAGAAAATGAAAATTGGGACTGTAAAAAATGACTCAGAAGGGTAAGCTGAAATTCACTTTACAATATTTAGAGACTGGTATATCAAAAGGATTAAAAAATTGTATTATGCCAATTTATTTTAGCCGAAGGAGGTAACTACGTATGCCATTTTATTTCAGTGGGTCAGACAAGCCCTAATATTTCCTTTAATCTTCTCCCACATGAAGGACTAAAATCTTAAATTCCAACATGAGAAACCTTCATGCCATGAATTAAAGACAGTGTTTCTCAATGTGTGGTTCACAGAATTACCCATGGATGTTTGTTAAAAGCAAATATCTTGCCCCAACCAACCTCTATGAAAGCCTGGGAGTAAGGCCATTCAATCCACACTTTGACAAGCAACCTAAAAACTCTGATGCGTACTCCTGCCTAAAACAACTGCCCCAAGGTTGGATGAGGCAACACGCAAAGCTACCTATTATTCACTTCATTTGAATCAGCAAACCTTTGTTAAGTACAAATCCTATGTGAATCAAAGATTGGATATATATAGGATGTCCAAACAGGAAAGAAACTTCTGAGAAACTGATTTTTAAAGTACAATTTATTATGTACAATAATAACCTACAAATGACAGGAAACCCAGTATCTAGATGTCTAGAAATACAAAGAAAATGGTATATTTACTCTTCAGATTAAAAGTTTACTCTTGATTTCAATTTAGCAGTTTTTCTCGTGAAAGGCGTATCTGGAGATTAAATAAAAATGTCTTTATCTCATTATTAGAAAATGCAACTAACATAGTGCTTAATAACAAGTTTATCCCATTTTTCCTGATGTTTTGTACATTTTACGTTTTGTAAAGGAGAGTGGTTATGTGTGTGAGGCTTCATGGTGGTTGAGGGGACGAGACAAGGAATGTCAATGAGGGGAAAAGAAAGAAGCTGAACTGCAAGACCAGGAGCACTAAAGGTAAATTCTTTTCCCACCTCTAGTCTAATTCTCCTCGTACCTCAACTGTAAGTTGAACATATTCAGAAGCCATACTGTGTTTTTTAATTACCAGAGCAAAATTCAAAAAGTAAAAGCTGACTTTGGAGTTTCATCAAAGAAAGAAAGAAAATAAAGAACATAAAGCTGAGAGTATCAAGGTTCTTTCGCTGGTCAGGAATTTGCCCCCGTTTCCACCCCCACCCCGGGACTGAGGACTAATTCACTGGAATCCGTGAAAAGAGCTTCAGTAAGGAGCATCCGCTCATGAAACAGTGAAGATAAGCTGATGAGGCTCATTAATGGCTCTTAGTGCCCTTGGTCTTCTACATATAGTCTTTGACTTTTCCTAACACTGGAAACCAGATCCAGTTAAAACACACACACACACACACCCCCTATGAGAAGTGGAAGTGAATAGAAAAAAGAGTTGTGCGGGTTCTCAGCACGATCTCTAGACCAGCAATATCAGCATCACTTGGGACCCTATTGTATTCATCTGCTCAGGCTTCCATAACAAAATACCATAGATTGAGTGGCTTCAATGACAGAAATTTATTTTCTCACAGTTCTGGAGGTTGGGAAGTGAAAGATCAAGGTGCTGGCTGATTTTGTTTCTGGTGAGGGCCTTCTTCCTGGCTTACAGATGCTGCCTTTTTGCTGTCCCCACATGACAGAGAGAAAGACTTCTTTCTGTTTGTTTTCCTGAGGCCACCAATCCTATTGGACCCCACCATTATGACCTCATTTAATCTTAATTACTTACTAAAAGCCAAATCTCCAAATACAGTCACATTGGGGGTTAGGGCTTTAACATAGGAATTCTGGGGGAACATAATTCAGTCCATAGCACTCACTATAAATGCAAATTCTCAAGCACCACCTGAGACCTGCTGAATCAGAAACTCAGGGAATGGGGCCCAGCAAACCAGGTTTTATTATCTCACCAGATATTGTAATGCCAACTAAAGTCTGAGAAGTACTGGCCCTCAGGATGAAGTCCCAACTCCACAGCACAGCATTTCCTTTCCTTCCTAGTCTACTCCCACCCTTCCTTTCCGACCTTATTTCTTAGAGGATACTCTGTCTATACTTCTAGCACAAGGCTTTGCACATAGAAAGCACTCACATTTTCACAATATTGTGTACTATTGTCATAGGAGTTATTAAGAAATTATTAAGAAATTATTTTAGGCAGATAGAGGAGAAAAGGGGTCCTTGGAAAGTTTTTGTTTCTTTTAAAACAGCTCCAAAAATGTTTCTTGTCTAGCAGGAAAACCCCGGCTCTTAGAGTCAGCCTGGCAAACTTTGATGTGCAAATACCAGCCATTAGAAACGGGGTCCACCCAACATGGAGATTCCTGCCTTCTTCTTCCTTGCCATCACAAGTACCTGGCAACATGGCCGCCCCCACATATCTGCATGTGGGTAGAGCATCATGGCGCCCTGCATTTGCATATTAAAAGGCTAGGGTGGGAGGGCCAGTTTTTTCCCCTGGGCTAGGTGAATAACATGCCTGGTCAAACCAATTCCTTGAACCCTACGCAAATCAGGTACCACCGCCTCCATCCTCCTCATATAAGCAGCCACTTTACCACCCCACACAGGGTTTTCTCTCGTTGGAATCCTCCCTCTCTCTGTCTCTGTATGAGGGAGGTGTTCTTTTCTTCCTTCCTTCTTTGTTGCCTGTTAAACGCTCCTCTCCTTAAAACCACTCCACGTATGTCCATGTCGTTTTATCCAATTCTGCGTGAGATTAAGAACCCTGGCGTTCCTTCAGTCATTGGAGTCCTATCACTGTTTGCTTATAACTCTTCTCTGTAAACTACTCCGTACAACATTGCTTTCAATTCATCACTGTTTTGGGGCATCCAACAGCCCATTGGTCTCTGACATAGCACAAAGTTGCTTAACATGATTTTAAAAAATCAATATACTACTTGCTACTTATCATGTCCTTAAGTGTATCAAGTCTTATAAGTACTTAGTATATTACCTTACGAAATTCTCCCAATCACCCTGAGGTAGCCATTATAATTTCTGCTTCACAGAAAAAGACACTGGAAACTGAGGCTTAAGGTCAAGAGGTCTATTGTACAACATGGTGACTATGATTAATAGCAATGTATTTATCATATCTTGAAAATTGCTAAGCATGGATTTTAAGTGTTTGTTTCACAAAAAATAATAAATGTATGAGGCAAGGCATATGTGAGAGTTAGCCATTCCACTATATATATATATATATTTCTAAACACATTGTACACGATAGACATATACAATTTTATCTGCCAATTAAGGTAACATTTTAAAAAGAGGTCAATTAACTCCCCCAAAGTGACATACTTGGGAAGTGGTAAGGTTGGAAATTATGAACTCATGTTTCTTTTTTTTTTTTTTTTTTTGAGGCAGAGTCTCGCTCTGTCGCCCAGGCTGGAGTGCAGTGGCGTGATCTCGGCTCACTGCAAGCTCCGCCTCCCGGGTTCCCGCCATTCTCCTGCCTCAGCCTCCCGAGTAGCTGGGACTACAGGCGCCGCCACCACACCCGGCTAATTTTTTTGTATTTTTAGTGGAGACGGGGTTTCATTGTGTTAGCCAGGATGGTCTCGATCTCCTGACCTCGTGATCCGCCCGTCTCGGCCTCCCAAAGTGCTGGGATTACAGGCTTGAGCCACCGCGCCCGGCCTGAACTCATGTTTCTTTAACTTATTTCCACTGTGTTTTACTACAGACACAGAGATGCAGTTTTCTGACAACATCTCGAATTTTCTGCCAAGACTCCCAGAGCATATGGGACTTGTTGCAGTAAAGTTATTTCCAGTATATCTTTTGGAACCGCTCTATTCTCTACACCCCGACACAGTCTTGCACACACGTATGTGTGTTTGCATGTGCACACTCACACACACGCTAGCAAATTGTTAAAAGTTGGCCATCACGAAAACAAAAAATCAGGCTAGACTTCTTGAGACAAACAGGTACCGTGAAGCGACTATTGGGAAGAAAGAGCTCTAAATTTTATCGCTATTCTATATCCTATTTGACTGTAGACAATTTTTAGAATGCTTTCATCTTTACAATAAAGACACCCCAAACTCTCAAACGGAATTGCTTGAATGTTCACAAGGAGCTCTGATAAACTTTGTCTCACAGTCACTACTGATAATTAAGCGCTAGAAACATATATGCACATAAAATTTAAAAATCAGTAAGTTTAAAACAACAGACTACTTTTTCTTCAAAATCATTCTTTCTTAGCTTCATTCCACAGAAACCATGCCAAATGATTCTGTTTTACTTATTTACAGCTTCCTTCCTACTGAAGACTGGACTATAAGATAATGAACCACACCTGTTGGATTGTTTAGGTAATTCCAGGCACCAGCTGAGATAGTAATTAAAAGTAACGTTCCATTCTCAGCCTACCTGGAGTGTTCAACAACCTTGACATCTTGCAGAAATAGGAGACATACTGCTCGCAGTACTCCGCGCTGTCAGTGATGGCACTTATCTGGTCCATGGAGGCGCTGTAAACAAGCTGTGTCACTGAGTATTTTTCTGGGTTGTAGGCGACCACATTCGTCTGCATCTGCAAGTCATGAGACACTATGGTCCACACTTTGTCCTCTGTAGGGAGAAAAACAACCAGGACCCTGGATTATTAGTATGCAAATGCTTCTCCAAATGTCAGAAAATAATTGAGCTACACTTAAATGGTCTTTTTACTGAGCTGGTGTAGAACAGTGTTAAGGAGAGCAATCCTTAAAACATCCCCTGCTCTTTGCTCATCCCTAAATTCTGCCTATGAGGACAAAGTAGGAAAGCTATATATATATACATTCTTTTTTTTTTAATTGAGATGGAGTCTCGCTCTGTCACCCAGGCTGGAGTGCAGTGACCGAATCTCAGCTCACTGCAAGCTCTGCCTCCCAGGTTTACACCATTCTCCTGCCTCAGCCTCCTGAGTAGCTGGGACTACAGGCGCCCGCCACCTCGCCCGGCTACATTTTTTTTTTTTTTTGTATTTTTTAGTAGAGATGGGGTTTCACCATGTTAGCCAGGATGGTCTTGATCTCCTGACCTTGTGATCCGCCCGTCTTGGCCTCCCAAAGTGCTGGGATTACAGGCCTGAGCCACCACACCCGGCCTAGAAAGCAATATTTTTATTGAAGACAAACACAAGATACCTCCTGAAAACAAGGCAAAAAAAAAAAAAAAAAAAAAAAAAAAGCTTTTGTATCTAGTTGGTGCTCTAACATCTGCAGCATTGAATATCAGGCTCATTATGTTCCAACTTCTTCCTGACTGTCATCCATCATTCCTCTGGTGGAACCGGATTTTCTCTTTCCTAAATGAACTATGCTCTTCTTTCAAGCCTGAGTCTTCCTACATGGTGTTTGCTCTAATCAGAATATATATCTTCATCTTGTCAACAAATGTTCTTTTCACCCTGACCTTTTAGGCAAAATTAGACATTGCATTCTCTGCTATTGAAATGTTCTATACATGTGGAATAAAGCAAGTGAGTAATTATCTTGGTGATTTTGACCCTGAAAATTTCAGTGTAAGAAAAGAAGCAGATCCAAAATAGATAAGGTTAAATGAAAGCTCCATATACATTTAAATTTTAGTTAGAAGCATCACTAAGAACCTAAGATAATGTTATCTAATTTTAAATGTGGCATATGTCTTGCCTCTGTGCACTGAAAAAGCTCCTAAACAAGGACCAACCTCGTGCACCAGACTGTCATCACTAAATACCATTTCCTCTAAGATAAAACTAGGATCCCTGGAGAAATGATGGCTTCTACGGCTGGAAATGTGCAAGATGAAAGATGAGCCAGGAATATATCCCACTAGAAAAAAAATAAGCAATTAGAGACTGAGGGCAGTTCAAAAACACCCAGGGCCAAAGAAGGGCCAGTTTTAACATCAACAAGAATATTCTGCAATGGATTAAGGCATATCAAATATATTTAAATTCTTAAGTTTATTAAAATTATTAAAAATGTTTAAATTTGAAAGATGCTAGGTAATCGACTTATTATTTTGAATATTGGTGAATGAAGAGAAGAATCAAGCCTTTCACCTATCTTTGTTATAGGAACCTTAATGAAACCAAATATTGTCTTGATGGAAATATTTCAGCTCATAAAAGAAGACTAAATGATGGGATTAGAGTATCATCACTTCCTAACTTCTGACAAATTTAGTAGGATCTAAGCAATGATTATCAATGGCTGCTAATATAATCACAAGTGAAACCAGACGTGATGCACCTTTGGATGAAAATACATAATCAATGTTACATGTAATGTAGTACTGATAAAAATCAAGCATGAATTTGACCAAGTTTATAGACCTAACTGTGGATTTCCAGAATATACAAGGGAGAGAGGAACATGTAAAATGGCACACAGGGAAATACTCCATGAAATCCATGCCGTGGGAAACTCTATAGACCAATATAGTTTTATCAATTAATAAATTAAAAAGGAAGGGGATAGAGAGGAAAGAAGTGGTGAGAGAGAGCGAGAGCAAGAGAGAGCGAGAGAGAGAGAGAGAGAGAGAGAGCGTGGTAAATGGCAACTCCATTCTTACAGGTGCTCAGGACAAAACCCAGGAGTCACCATTAATGCCTCTCTTCTGCATTGATCATCCAGTCTGCCCATGAATCCTGTCTGCTCTACCTTCAATGTGTTTCCACAATTTGAACACACCTCCTGCCAACCCACCACCACTACTAGGGTCAAAGCCATCCTGATTCCTAACCAGTCTGCTGCTTTCCATCCTTGCCTCCTCATATCTACATTTAACACAGGAGTCACGGTGAGGCTTTTCAAATATAAGTGAGATTCTGATACTCTGCTCAAAACCCTCAATGGCAGCGGGTCTTGTTCCAGTAAAAGTGAAGTCCTGAAAACAGCTGAAGTCCCTCTATGACCTGGCTTCTCCTGCCTCTATGCCCTCACACGCCAATCCTCCCTCCTTGCTCCTTTGGCACCAGCCACACGGACCTTTCATTCCTCAAACACATCAGCAGGGTCCCTCCTTAGTGCCTCTGCACCTGCTGCTTCCTTTGTCTTTCCTCGGCACCCTCAGGACCCACTCCTTCTCCTCCAGCGCCAGCCTTTCCTTTCCCATTCTACAGCTGCTCTCTGCCTCCCCATCCTGCTTTAATTTTCTCCCTAGCGTTCATCTCCCCTTTATTTGTGCACCTTTTATTTTTTTTAAGTCTGCCTCCCCACATTAAAAGTTAAGAAGGCAGAAATTGGCATATAATAGGGCTTAAAAATATTAGTTGAGTAGAAACATGAATTAACAAAAGTTAAACACTACATGTTCTCACTCATAAGTGGGAGTTGAACAATGAGAACACGTGGACACAGAGAGGAGAACATCACACACCAGGGCCTTTTGGGGTGTGGGGAGAAAGGCGAGGGAGAACATTAGGACACATACCTAATGCATGCGGGGCTTAGAACCTAGATGATGGGTTGATGGGTGCAGCAAACCACCGTGGCACATGTATACCTATGTAACGAACCTGTACGTTCTGCACATGTATCCCAGAACTTAAAGTAAAAAAATAAAAAATAAAAACAAAAAAGCAAAAGTTAAATAGATCCAAGCTACTCAATCTAGAACAGTTTAAAGTCATTTTGGTCCCCGTTATGGCTTGGCCAGGACTATCCTGTGAGACTCTAGAAAAGCGACTTCATCGTCTAGGCTCTAAATCCCTTTCATCTATAACGACAAGCCTCTCTACTAGAGCACGTTCCAGTTCGCTCTTCTTGAATCAATTAGAACAAGTTCAGTTACCGTGTCCCCCATAGTAACACATTTTCTGTAGAATAAATATATTCCAGTGTTACCTTTAGCCTCTTTGTAACTGCCTTCCTTTAGTTTCTCTGATAATCAAAGAAGCCACATCATATTTTAGTAATTCTGTCACTTTCTGACAGGATTCTGACAATAAACTGTTTGTCATTTGTGTCCAGACCTGCAGATTTACCTTCACCTATGTTCACCTAATTAAAAATGCATTAATTAAATTATGCTGGTTTTTATCTTTTCTGTTGCAATCGGCCTCTGGCATAAAACACTCCAGTGTCTGACACTGCTTCCATTTTTTTATAATCTCTATCAGGAGCCTTGTCCTGCAGCAGGACTCCAAATCTTTCTTTGACTCATGATGGAACAGCATTCTCACCTGATGTCTTTTTTGAAGGGTCATAAACGTCTTTTCAATATAATGGCCATAAAAGCAAGCATTAATTTAAGCAAATAAAACAAAATAGTCACCCATTTACAGTCTCTATCTTACACAACTTCAATAACTTTAAAAATATTACCCTATTTGCTGAGATTGAAGTCTCTACTGATTTGTTCCTAGTGACTTCTCAGCCCTAAACTCTACTTCTGCCCCTCTCAACACAAACATTCCTCTGTCAAACCCCTGTGCATTATCTGTTATATGTTTGTTTTGTAACACACCCATCCATTAAATAAATATTACTGAGTGCTTACAATATGACAGACACAGGTCTAGGGAATGTATCTAGGGAAACCACCGTGCAATAAGCATTTATACATTTTTGGAGCTTTGGTTGGGTGTAGTGGCTCATGCCTGTAATCCCAGAACTTTGGGAAGTTGAGGTAGGAGGATCACTTGAGCCCAGGAATTCAGGACCAGTCTGAGAAACACAGCAAGACCCTGTCTCAAAGTTATTTTTAAAAATTCAATAAAATAAAAAAAAATTTGGAGCTTATATTCTTCCATTCTAGTGGGAAAAACAGATCATAAGCAAAATAACTAAAATTAAACACATATATATATATAGTTTGCCAGTGATAATGGCAGGGAGAAAAAGCTAAATCAAGGAAGGGAAGGACAGACGCTGTGAATGGGGATTGCCTTTTCAAATACAGCAAAAGCTGCAAAAGGCTTCACTGAGAAAATGACATTTGAATGTATAAGGTAGTTATCCAGCAAGCCATGTGAATGCCTGGGGAAAATATTCCAGACAGAAGAAATACAAATGCAAATGTTCTAAGTCTGGAATTTTCCTGGCATCATTCAGGTATACAAAGGGGCCGCTGAGTGACAGAAGGAAGAATAGGATGAAGTGAGAGTTAGAGATGGACAGGCATGGGAAGAGGATGACCAGGAGTCTGCTATGTCTTTTGTAGTCAAAGGAAAACAAACAACTGTTGGCATTGGAGGATTTTGAGCAGAAAAGCAGCATGCTATAACTTATTTATTGATACATTATTCTTCAATGAAATTATATTTTGGAAAGATTTGAAAAGAAATACACATGCACATGTGTATGTATTTTATAAAGTAATTAAATTTTTTTTACAGCCTCATGTCATTTTTTTCTGGGAAAAAACAATTTTTACATTTTTATTTCCTTTTGGTATTTTTGGGGGGTACAGGTGGTTTTTGGTTACATAGGTAAGTTCTTTAGTGGTGATTTCTGAGATTTTGGTGCACCCATCACCTGGGCAGTGTACAGCTGTACCCAATATGTAGTCTTTTATCCCTCACCCCTTCCCACTCTTCCCCGCAAGTCCCAAAGTCCATTATATCATTCTTATGCTTTTGTGTCTTCATAGATTAG